TTGTCCCTTCCCTTATTGGGGATGCGGTCGCCGTCTCCCTCGTCGGGTTATTTTTTGGCCCTATATTCCCAATCGCTCTGAGTACCAGCCGCAAGATCATACCACGCTGGATCTTTACTGGAGCTATCGGCTGGATCACTGGAATCGGTCAGGCAGGAAGTGCTGCCATACCTTTTATCACTGGTGCTCTCAGTGACGCTGTAGGGATACGCAGTTTGCAGCCCTTGTAGGCCAGCCTTTTGTTTTTCTGCGTGCACCACTGATTTGTAACCCATTGCTTAGGCTGGTCGCGATGATGGCTACTATGATTGGAATGTGGTTTGTTGTACCTCGACCGACGAGGCCCGACTAGTCAGAATTGGGTAGTCTGACCAGCCTGAGCATATACATGTCACTCCGGAGTGCCCCCGTTCATCCACTCCAACTGCTCGGAGAGTCGGTGATCTGCAGCCGACACGGCGTTGTTTTCGACGGTATCTGTCTAGGTGTAATTCATTTTAACCTTATGTTAATCATGCTCGAGTTTTTATCTCGTGAAAAAGGTCGATTGTATGCGTTGAATGCATGTTATTCGACTTGCAATTGGAATAATCTACTAACAATGTGCATGTTTGACGCGTCAACGTGAACTGAGATGCATTTCGACACTCGATGAGAGACCATGCGATATCCATCACGCATCCTTCAACGTCTCCAGAATAACAACCACAATCCCCTTGCATATTACAGGTACACGAAAGATTATAGAACATGCATAATTATAATACAAACAAGGTAAATAACCGTGAATTGGTTTGAACAGAGTAAAGCATACAGACAACATCGATATCGAGGGACGAAGGAAGGACAGGAATGCGTCATGAACAACGAGGATAGTGAATCGAAGGTTGTGAGCTTGACGGATAAGTACAATGATCGTGGTATGGGTCTGCGAATCGTTTAGCATTAGAACGTGTGAAAGAAAGAACAGCACCGACATATAGAAAGGCTGGCTATGGTCTGATCAAACCAGCCGCTGCTTCGACTCTTGCTACTTCCGACCGGAGTGCGTCTCTGCCCTCTTCTAACCAGCGACAGTATTCAACTGCCCTAAAAAGAACACCACTTTTCCCCTTGGGACCTTCATCTTCCTTTCCAGACTTTTTTCTTGCTTTACCCCTGGCGCCACTACCTTTTGGCCGGCCCCGCGTCGGCATACCTAATGCAGTAGGGTTTCCACTGGGAGCTAGTAGCCCAATGAGCTGTGCATAGCCATCGCGAATAGCATTCCGTCTTTTCTGTTCGGACATTATATGATTGAGTCGTTTCTGTGGCGTGGACAATAGCGCTTTGGTGCGCGCTTGTGTCGGAGTAGATGGAGATTCGACTGGAGGAGACGCTGAATGATTCACAAACTGGGCAGGAGGTGTCATCGATGAGGAGGTATGGCTGGATGATTTACTTGTACTTCTCGCAGCTGGTCGTGTTGACCGTGCTGCTGCATTTCTTCTTGGACGAGGGGTATTTGAATCCGAAACAGTCCTTAGATGAGGATTCGAATACGGTGCATTTGAGGGAAGTGGTGGGAGTTCTGGCAGAGTTTCTGATGACTTCTGCTCGAGTTCTGGATCCCAAAGACTGTCCTCGAAGCCAGCATCTAGCAGATTAAAGAAGGAGTTGAGCTTATTAGCCTCGAACTCGTTAAATAGCTCTGAGGATGGCGGCAATTGTGGTGGTTGTGGGAAGATGTTCGATAGCTGAGGGTCAAAAGAAAACTGAAAGTCTGCGTAGGGAACTGGTGGCAATAACGGAGACTGCATCATCGCAGACACAGCAGAATCAAGAATAGTAAACTTTATGTGGACCCGGCTCTAGATAGCCGGTTTCCGGTTGTGGCCGTGTGTGAATCCGAGAATTGCCATTTCGCCGTCTCTTCTCCGTTCTTCAACGGTCAAAACGCCGCCCTCCGTACTTGCTCGCTAAAAGAAGTAAAAAATGTCCGCTGAAGACTCCGTCCAAGACGGTACGATCGATGCGCAACTTCAACAACAGCTTGCTGGAAATCCAGAACAACTTCAACAACATCATCAGACAACACCATCCATCTCTGAAAGCGGCTCCACGAGGAAACGTCCGTGCTTGTAAATTGTTGTATTTCTAGTGCTAAATTGGCTTGTATGCAGCCAAAGCCCCCTCTGTCCGTCGTGCTTGCGTAGCTTGTCACACCGGCAAAACCAGGTGCAGCGAAGTTCTCCCTTGTCAGGTATGTCTCATCTATTCATCGCGTACTTTTATCTCAAAAACCCTTCCAGAGCTGCCTCAAACGTGGATTAGGAAATACATGTGCTTATCCTGATCCTGATGCTCAGAACAACACCAACAACGGTAGCAACGCCAGCCAGCAACATGAATCACCTCATGCTGGTTAGTTATTCAGTTATTACTCATCGTATGTACATGCACTAAACGGTCATCTTCGCAGTTCCGTCGTTCGCACCTCCCATGTACGCTGCTGTACCCGCCCATCCTCCTACCGTCCCTGCACCTGCCAACATGAATCATACTCAATACTATGACTACAACGGTCATTTCACCGGCGCTTCCTCTTCCTCATTCCGCCCGTCCAAGCGCCCTAGACCCCTTACTGATGAAGAAGCGCAGGCAATCACCCGCAATTTCTCTAGGGGTGATTTCTACGTCGGTAACAGCGCACCTGTGCGTATTGATAGCAGGCTACCTGTAAGACTGACATTGGGAGAAGGTAATACTGCTTCGCTCAATAATGCCCGTTTTTCTGATGACTTTGCGAAGGTGACAGCGTGCATTTTACTGTGGGCGAAGCCTTGGTGTAGCTATAGTATCCTTCATGTTTCTTCTCGATGTATCATTTCTAGCGCTGACCGTTGTATGCTTCTCGCTCTCTTTGTGTTTTCTCTATTTACGCGAGCGACTTGTGTCAAGTATGTTACTCTGACTGCCTGTTTTTATCTTGACTCTCCTTCTATGTGTACTCATTGTATTATCTAGTCATAAGCCGAATGTTAATTATTGTCGCGTCGAATCAGTCGTGAATGAACTATCCCCAAAGGCTGCTCCATTTCAAAACTTACGCTGAGCGATGTGTGCAAGCAATATCTGGAGTTATAGCAGCTCGTATTCGTACCTGCTTATCTCAAAGTGCATATACACACAATGGCAGTCGCGGCCGTCAAGAGGGATATTTCTCCGTTTATACGGCGGACGCGGAGGTCAAAGATATTTCTCCGAAATACCGAATTATACTGCCCGGCCTCCGTAGATAGGGCAGCGGCCCTGATTTGACTTAGACTAGGAGTATCGATGTTGCGGTACTATAGAGGAGGTAGGAAATGGAAATTTGACACGGTGATTGAGCAAGATTTTGACAGACCCGGCTCTTGGTTCTCGGAGCTCAGAGTTTGGGTGAACCGTGCCTCGAATTGTGGATCCGAGCCAATCTTGGGAAAAAACTGGGAGTCGAGGAATCGATCTTGGATGTTAGCTGAATAGAACGAGACGGGCTGTAGGTGGTAACCAACTCAAATGGCGGGAGGGATACCGACTACAACTGAACCCGATCTAAAGATATTTTGGAGTCCAGTGCAGCAACCGAGTTTCCTTCCTTCCACTCAAACATTGTCATAACATACAAATTTCCGCACTTCCGACTTGTTTATTGTTGTAACATGTCGCAGCAGCCCAATATTAGAACTATGCACTGGCTGTAATTACCTTTGACATGATGAAGGTGGTTTGTCTGAGAGTCTTCGGGAGCTAGATTTAGGCCTGGACTCGAGGAACCAAGATTATCACACTGTAATGAGGGGTTTGACCTGGTCATGCAAAAATCTCCTAGAAAGTTATATAAGTGGGAGTCAGCCCTGCAATTTCTCAGAAGCTGGGCAAGGTGAGTGAAAGTAAGCGGTACTGATAAATGGATCGGATAAGAAGAACCGCTCCGACGCAACGAGCCGAACAGGAAAGCTATTAGTAGTTCTCCTGGCCCTTATGGCAAAATTGTGGAGGGCTGCGGGGTTCGGTGTTTCATGGTTGCACAGCGCGTCGCGACTACCAGCCCGTAAGAAGCAAACAGAGCTGTAGCAGGCTGTAGGTCCGTGGGAATAGCAGTTGTGCTTGTCCTCGGTAGATAGGCAGATGAAGGTATCCGCCTGGGTCTAGGCCTCCGCCGGTGCGTGGGTGGGAAACCCAAAGATGCGGCGGGCACCGGATGGAGCGACTAGTTAGATAGACTAAGACTTGTCTAGCTGCTGTACTGTACAGGTGGTTATTTCGCGGGAGTGGGGGAGGAAAACACAAATACGAATACGAGAGACCTGATGACGACTAAGGCCACGGCCACATTTTCGGCTGGCCTGATTGCCTTGCTATCCCAAGTCCTCTAGCTTTTGCACCGAGAGATTATGTTTTCACTCGCGGCGAGGAGACGACTAAGGTCACAAGTGCTCGTGGATGTGTCGCGTTCGCTGGCAATATTCTTAACGGGGTTGGAAACTTGGGACTGGGATCTCCCTCGACTGGCCCAAGTTCTGCAAAACAAAATGGTACTTTAACATAAATTGACCTGGATCTGTATTGACGTGACCATCATCAACACTATGGCAAAGAGATCGAACAGGATCGAACCTGCAATTTTGAAGCTCAACTTGTGGCGTTGCACAATGCAGGCTGTGGAGAGGAAAAGAAAGAAAACGTGGATGATTTATTTTATGAATCATTGCTGATGTGAATTCGAAAGCTAGTTGAACTTGTGCGCAGTATAAGATTCAGGAAATCCTGTGTATTTTGCTTGGAGTTCGGTGTCAAATTTTATTGTTACTCATTCTGTTTGCATAGCCTGTTCTTCCCGGGAGGGTTTGCAGTCTATGTTCCCTCTGTGGGTCAAGCTCGCTGCTGTTCTTTCATGGGACCCCGCTGATACCAAGAATTTGGTTAGTAGTGGCGAGATAGGTTGCCATTATATGTCATTTCATGATGGTCAGTATGGCGAGATGGCCGAGCGGTCTAAGGCGCCAGACTAAGGAGACCAGGACATTTGATGTCCAAGTATATCTGGTCCGAAAGGGCGTGGGTTCGAATCCCACTCTCGTCATGGGAATTTTTTTTCGAGCCAATGAAATATCTAGGTTCACTTTGGGCCATTATCTAAACAGTATGCCTCCCACAGTGCATCCCGAGGCCAATTCGTGAGTTCTAAAAAAAGATCCACCTCATCTTTCCACTCTGAATTCTGCAGGCGGGCATTAAGCGCACTGAAGAACCTACCTTTTCCCTTTGGCAATGAAGGGGCTGACGTCAAGGGTACAGCATTGGCCGGAATGGCTGTTGTGGATGGAGGAGGTGCAGAACTTGCAGTAGATGAGGTAGCTGGTAGCTCTGTTGGAGCATGAGCACCAGAACTCGGCCATGTCTCCCATGTAGTATCAATCCAGTCTAAGAAGTACGCCGTTCGCTCATAGCCTGCGTCCCAGTTCCAGTCCCACACCCATCTACCAGGGTCATTCGGCTTCTTGGGATCGGGAACGTGTTTTCCCTTTGGGGCGACACGTTTCCAGTGGGGAGGGGAGAGTTTTTCATGGAGGCGGACGCAGTCTAGTAAGATAGTAGTCAACATCAGTGTAATCAACTATATGCTAGTGTGGTTGTTGCTCACCTGCTATTCCTTCAATAAGCCCACCGGGAGCTGTTCCCTTTCCATTGTACTGATAACAGTGGACAAATTCATGTACTAGGACACCCAGTATCTCTTCTCGTACTCTCATATTCTTCTTGGCCTCTGTGTCACCATTGTGGGAGTTAACGATGTGATTAAGAGAAAAGTGGACTTCTTTTGAGCCATCATCAGAGCCAAATGTATAGGCCACCCCATCCATGGGGCGAATAGTGAGTGTAATGCGTTTGACGCGCTGAACACTGAATAGAAATATTGAGAAGCAGGTGTAGTATCGCTTAGCTAGATTGCTTACGCTAAAGGAGCGTTTATCGTTTGACTTTTCTTGTCTTGGTCCCAACCATAAAGCCATTTCCAACTAGCCTCTACCGCTCTCTTCATCGCATCGGACGGATTGTGAATTTGCTCAAAGAAGAGTTTTGCGCCAGGGTGACTGAGATTTTCAACACGAAAATCAAGCTGAGGAATGTTCCACGACTTCGAATCGATGTACACTGGAGGAGCCATCGTTGTTTTGGACAAAGCCGAGCCCATGTGCGCGCTTAAATTTAGAGTGGTGAGTCATATCGAAATTCTTGCTTGTTTCATGGTAAGTAGTCCCAGAGCTAACATCGCTATTACCGAGGATGAGATCTATGAGATAGCCTCAGAAAGTTCTTCAGAGAACCTGTCGCGATAAGCGCCCATATAGTCACGTGCATTGCGCCATTGAGTCATTGACACGCTTGCTAATTTCTCTGCTCTTTTTATCGTTGCTTTTATCATTGCTTGCTATGGACGTAATCGACGCGTCAATGGCTACTTCGAACGCCAGTACTCCTTCTATGCCACGTTCTGACAAACATGGCAATTTGGACGAGGACATTGAAATGTCTGAACTGCTTAGCTCCTCGCCGTTGACCGAAGTGGACTCTGAAGAAAAATCATTATTTTCTCCCCTACCAGACTCTGTGCTACTACTTAATCTGCCCTCTATTCTTATGCACCCACCAAATCATCCCTTGCATGCGCAATCACTATGCATGTCGCTACTCGCGCTGAGAAGATGCCTAGAGATTCCAGGCCTGAGTCCTGATGTGGAATGTCGAGCGTTGACGTCTGTGGCTGAGATTGGAATGACAGTTATCGACGGAGGATTCAATAAACTGCAGGAGCATGTTTGGGCTCACGGAATCGAGACTGAAGTGAGCAGACGCTTTTCTTGTTAGACGTTTACTCAGTTTTGGATATAGGTTGAACAAGCTACAAGCAAGGGAGTAAGTCGCTCATTAGACACGTACCGTCTTTACCCACTCTAACTTGCCATTTACAGCTACTAATAGCTCAAAAAGTGAGCTCTCAAATTGCCTGATTTTGAACACTCTCTTTAACCAAAAAGCCAGCATCCTAATTTACGCATATACCGCTCACAAATAACTTTTCTCTCCGTCCAACTCGCATCATGGCAACATGACCTCAAATATGCCAATATGAAATATCGACAACTCTTGTCCACTTATCTGCCTTCCGACCCACCACATATTGTCTATACTTGCCATCTAAAACTGATAGTCAACCTAATCACACCCAAGGCCTCTAATAACACGTCAGGCGGCCGCAGCTCGTCGCCTACAAAGATACCACAGGACACCCGACTCGCAAATTCCGCAATACAGGCCATGCAAAATCACGCGTCAGAAAATGGACACACTGGTGTTGTTCTTCTGACCCATGTTCTTCGTCTCCGGTATCTTATCTCCTCTGGATTATGGGAGCAAGTGGGCGAAGCCTTGTACGAGACCGAACAGGTCCTCGGGATCGAATTTTCTAGTGAGCCAGACGCTGGTCAACAACCAGATGGGTTGTCACCTCGTAAAGGTTTGCGTGTCACGGACCTTAACACAGTCCATATGAATGCACCTTCGCCTTTAAAGCTTTCTCACAATAAATCCTCGACCATCCAATGTTCACCTGCAGCCGCATCCCCAGCAGCATCTGCACCGGCCCAGCCTTCATTCAAAATGTTTGACACGCATTTTGAGAGGAGTATGGCACTACATACTCTCATCCTCGGTGTAATATTCTGCACCTATGTGGGCAAAATTGATGCTGCTACGCAGAGATTGTCTCATCTCCATGCTTTGCTTGACGCAGGAGTATTGCGTTTCGACAAAAAGCCTTCGACATCCGTTCCCTCTGAATCTTCAGAAATATCTACCTATGCTGATCCTACGGTGGGTATACATAAATCTACACCAGAGGGAATCCAGGAAAGAGACGAGGCCGCATGTGGAATCGTCCGTATCCCAATATCAGATATATCACCCCCTCTGTATGTTCAAACGACTCACCCGCGGATCCTGTATGTCCTTGCATACCTGGTTTCGTGTGTAGCAAAAAAGGATCCAGTGGGACGGAAACCGAAGCGAAAAATCTTTGCAATAGAGGGCCTGACGGCTTGGGAGAAGGAAATTAGAAGAGAGTTGCGGTGTAAAGTTATCTCAAGTTTGTGTTTGTTCTCTAATCTAATACCGTTGTCTAGTGTCATCTTGGGCTAGCATGGGCGATCTCGAAGAAATCAATTTGAAGCTCGCAAAGATTAAGGCGGATTTGATGTGCGAACTTATTGGGGTAGGATTATTCCTATACTTTTATACCATCTTTTTTTTTGGACTCATTCACTGTCCTAGATATCCATCATGCGCTCAGAATTCAAGGTAGCGGAGGAAGTAAGTCGTTCACATTCTATACACATTCGAAATATCTTATAACTTTCTGCAGACCCTCGCGGTTCTGATAGCTCATTTACGAAATGCCGACATTTTCGCCTCGTTCTCTAGTCGCGTTACCCTACATCACGCACACTTGGCTCATGCCAAAGGCCAGACAGTCCGTGCGTTGGAATGCTATCAAGTCGCAGAAGCCTTCGCTGAAGAACGCGGGGATGACTTCGTGCGAATATCAGCTCGTGCAGGAAGGGTTTGTTTGAAGATTGGTCTCATCAGGGACAAGGAATTCTTGAAGAAGGAGGAAGAAGAAGCGAATCAAGACAACGAGCAACGGAAGACTAGATCGAAGAGCAAGGAGAGGAAGGCTGTGGACAAGGACGCGATGGATGTGGACGAAGAAGTAGCAGCGGGGTTCGACGACCCCCCTGATCTACAGGAATGGGATGAAGTACAACAATTAGCGGAAGACGTCGCAGAAGCGTGTCGTGGGATGGGGGGGACAATGTGGGGTGTTGGCAGAGTAATCGAGGCTTGTCTCACGGATGAAATTCTTAAAGCAAAGTCTGTCGGCTCTCTTTCCTTATTAGCCGCTCGTTTGACTATTGAATACAGGCAACACCTCAAATCTGCCCTATCGTTTGCCACTTTCGCGGGTGACAATCACCTTCGGGCATTGATTCTCGCCCTTATTGCATCGCACTACTTCCATACCGCCACAAACGACGCATTGAGTATGCTTGGCATGTGCGAAAACTTGGCTAGTGGACTCGGAGCCGCAGTCAAACCACCGGGCGCCAAAAGCAAGGACAAATCCGCAGATGCGATTGGGAACGCTCCGTTGAGAACTTGGGTCGGGGAGCGTAGTCTTGGTAAGCGATCGTTTCTGCTTCGTGAACCGGATTCTCATATCTTACAGAAATTTTCAAACGGACTGGCAATGCACCTGCGAGCAAGAAACAGGAGGCTGCGAATCGTGCGCTACATGCTGGCATACGAAGAGCTGAGAAGAGAGTGGCGAAATCCACAGACCTGTAATTCCTGCATTTCTTTCGTTCTATTATTCATTCCACCATCGCCTTGTTGTCTCGCATCCTTCGTTTTTCATCTCGCATCTCGCATCCTGGACTCTCATAAATCACATTCGTGTACATCTATATGTATTTGCCAAGCAACTATGCAACTTGAAGTCTTCACTCCTACCCCATGCTGCAAGGAAATTGTACATTCTCGACTATTACCTACATACGTATGCCTATAATTAACAATACAATACAGGAACGGAAGAATTTCATTGTATTCCCAATGTGAACGTGGAGAAAACAAAATTATGAAAGAAAGGAACACAACTTGAACAAAAATGCAGCGATACATACACGAAAAAAGACAGCAATAAGACAGATGGATAGTGTTGGAAGGGGAGACAACAGTGAGTAGATGACATGGAGTATGATGATACCTGAAAGGTCGCTCAGGCTATCCCCACTCATTCTCCAGCTCCCTGGCTAAAAAGTCATCTTCTATATCTTCCGTGCCACTCTCGTCTCCTTCGTCGTCTTCTTCCTGATCCCCTTTTATACCTGCAACTTCTTCCATATCGCTGTCCTCATTCCCTGGACTCGAACCAGTCAATTTGCCCGTGGGGCTTGCGCTCCGGTCTCGAGATCGGGAACTACGTAGATCATCCGCGTGAATAGCGACTTTCAGCTTCGACAG